CTGAAAACCCTAGCTCAGGACATGATATGTGACATGTGAGTATTCTTGGATTTCAATAATATTTTACTAATTTTATAATTTAAAATTATAAGAAAAAATTAGTATCGAGCTTCCCAACTTTTCATGGTGTAGTTTTTGGATCCTCAGTTTATTTAAATTTAGTCTTGATTGAAATAATCGATAAAGACATTAAAATTGAAAGCTAGTTTCAAATGACTCAAAGATAGAGGAAAAATCGTCAAACTACTTAGCATTACTTTCTAATTCAACTGAAATTCGAGTATGTTTTAATGTATATGTTGAGCATTTTATTTGTGTGAGGACTCAAATTCACATAATTAAATAAGCTGGAAATTCAAACACTCGCTTTAAAGGTTGAAGACTCCTGTACCAAATGAAAGGTTGGGGAGCTTAACCGAAATTTTCCCAAATTAGAAATATTTTTTATATGGCTAGTATTATTTTCTTTTCTTGAAATATGTTTATTAATACAATCTCAATCTGTTGTTACATTATAGAAAAACTTACACAGATAGTCCCCAACTTATAGGTATGTACAAAACCAGTCCTAATTCTTTTTTCTTGTTAGCGCCCTCCTTAACTAGAAGTTTTGGTGCTAAAAGCCTAAAATAGTCCTCACAGACTAATTACATCTAGCCCCTGTTTGATTTTAGATAAAACTCAAACTTTAGTAGATTTTGATAAAAGTAGATGAAATATATAGTTAAAAAGTCGTGGGTTTCACGAAATATGTGATTAAAATTAATTGTTGACTAACTTAAATTTTAATCTATTTTTTTAGTGGAATCATACAAGAGCCAAATTTGTCTCACATAGACTAATTTGAAAAGGGGAAGACAAGCTTCTTGATTGTTTCGAAGTGAAGCATGCACACAAGCATGAACGTGTAACTTGAGGCTCTTGGGTCAAAGTCGTAATCTAAAAGTAATTAAATAATAAATTCTTAAACATTGTAGTTAAGTTTCTTCAAAATAACAATATGCTCTTGAATCCCCATTAAAAACAGTGGGAAATGACATTTGTACACTATGATTGACACCTTGGTAAACACGACCAATTAAAAAAATCGTGGGCCTTCCTGGGGGGGCTGTACACCGGGTGTCAACCCCGGTATACAAGTGCATAGCCATAAAACAATTGATGAAGTTCTTGGGCCTGTGCCCTTACAAATAGGAGTATCAATGGACCATAGCTGGATCCATAACATTGGAATTTGAATAGAAAATGGCATCAAGCCATCAATCTAGGGATAAGCCAATTCAAGAATCAATGGACTGGATGAAGACAATCAATATTGATCCAAATATAAGGTCATTTAGTGGGCCTGAGATTCAATTTTGATCCATTAAGTGGCTACTGCCCCCAGCTACCAACACTTCTATGCAGGGAAAAAAACCAAAAAAACAACAAAAAAGTTCTATTCAAAGAATTAACTATAAGAAAAATTAATATAAAATATCCAATTAACTAATTTTCCATGTTATTTAACGGATAACTAAACAAAGTTTACGTTTATCTATAGCCTGCCAATATTAATATTGTATTTCTTGCATTATGTGGATAATTTGGAAAAATAAAAATTTAGAATGTTTCGAGTGATAGCCCTTTCTCAATAGCCATATGGTTCAATTTTCAAGGATAGGAAACTAACCAAATTGGGTTTTTTCCCCTCGCAAGATAGATGGATGTTCCAAAGGAAACCTGAGTTCAGCAGGAATGGAGGGACTCTTAAAGGATGATCAACGAAAATGAATGACGTGCTTTATGGGAAATATTAAACACGGATCGACCGAATTATAAGCTATTTTCAGAGGTCTACCGTTCATTTAGGGACAATCTTCAGAGTCAATTTTCAGAATCCTAACAAAGCTCTTCTCGAAGATTGTCACTTGCTTTCAGTTCAACATTGAGGTACCATAAGCATTAAGACAAGGAAGCAATCGGCACATCACCACCTTGCAAACTTGGAAGAAATTTAGGATAAGAATCTTATCATTTTTAGAAAACAACCCCTCTCTATTAATTCTCTTCTATCAGTAAACTTGACTTAGGCAAGGATCGCTTTTGTTAGGCCTCGTAATTGAAATTTCTTGTTCCTCTGTTTTTACCCATACAAAAAGAATCAGAGTATTGTCGAGATAAAATATAATAAGGAAATTGAAATATTGGCACAATGATGCAATTAACCTACGACTGGAATGTTGACCAGTTGACTGATTCTTTGATTGTTGAATTGGTGCAAAGTCGTGTTTTAATTAGTAAAGTCGTGTTTCTCCCTTTATTTGAAATGGACGCTCCTAATGTCACCAAGTGTCATCTCCAAGACCTTTGGGTGACTCATATTGAAGACCTCCTAGGGTTGGAACTGCGCACTCTCTCTGATTATCTCTTCGTCTGCGTC